TTGGGAGGCAGAACCAGGCGAATCTTTGTGAGTTCGAGTCCAGCCTGGTCTACAATGTGAGATCCAGGAAAGGCGCAAAGCTACACAGAGAAACCCTGTCTCGAAAAACCAAAAAAAAAGAAAAATTTTAAAAGTAAGTTTTCAGTCTCAATGGGGGTTGGAACTTCCAGATCAAAGCTGGAATGGCTACCCACTACATCTCCCCCTTTTTGTCTAAATAAGAAAGTTCTAACCTAATACAAGACTATATACAAAGGAATGGTTTTCAAATATTGTCCGGGAATAATGAGGGATAATGACCTAGATAAGATGGAACTACAACCAATGCAAACATTATCAAGCAAGAGACACATACTAAAGTCCAGAGAAGTATAGAGCATAGGTAAATGACATGTTACAAAGATCATTCCAAAAGTTGTCCTATCCTAAAGAACCTGAATCTAATACTTAATATGTTCTATCTACTAAGTTGTAACTATAACTGCTAGTCTTCAATCTCATCGTTCTATATAAATAAAGCACTGATTGGCCAGTGACCAGGCAGGAAGTATAGGTGGGACAAAGAGAGAGGAGAATTGAGGAAGGAGGAAGGAAAGAGAGACCGGCTGGAGCCACCGCCAAGACAAGGAAGATGTAAAGTACCGGTAAGCCATGAGCCACGTGGCAAAGTAAAGATTAATAGAAATGGGCTGAATATAAGGGTGAGAGCTAGACAATGATAGGCCTGAGCTAATGGCCAAGCAGTTTAAATAATGTAAGAGTCTGTGTGTTTGTTTTATAAGTGGGCTCCGGGACTGGCGGGACTTAGCGGTGGGAGCTGGAGAAAAATTCTCCAGCTACATGGACCTCTCAGGACAGATGGAGGTCAACTGGAGGTGGAACATTAGTCAACACACTGAAATTGCCCTCAGACACGAAGAGAGATAGAGATGTTCTCATCGAAGGAAGGCCACCCTACAGCATGGCTAAAGGTTGTTCTCTTCCTTCTTGCTCTCTCTACTGTTCATGAATCTGTACTTATACAAAACAGGAAAGACTTTTAAATGAAAGAATGGAGATGAACAACCTGAAAACACCGAGAATAATGGGATGACTGTGCATGCAATAATTTGTATTAAAAACTAGATAGAGTTGCATTGTCTATGTTGTTATACAATTAGAAATCTGATTTTGCAGAGTAGAGGCACGAGGAAAAAGAATATGTTCTTGAATATGCAAGGGTCTGAGGAACAAAGTCTCTACCTGCAGGTTAATCGGGAGAAAATTGAACTTTATTGTAGCTTTCATGTTCTGTGATGAGATAGCAGTCATGTAGTCATTTCTAAGTATGTTTGAGCAGTGAATCCAGAAGAGAGGGTTATGTTTGCACGCACTGTGTTTTTCTTGTTTCAGAACCAGTTGCTGTGGTGATGGAGACTTAGTTTGCTATAACTTTAAAAATATAAATTTATTTTTCACAGTTTTGAAAGCTGGGAAGACAGAGGTTGAGCTTCAGGCAGATTCCGTGACTAGTGTAGGCTTGTTGTCTGCTTCAGAGACCAAACACTCTCTGCCTCCTCTCATGATGGAAGGGGGCCACGCCGCTCCTTAAACCACTTTATAAGGGTGCTGGTCTCATTCATAAGGGCAAGGCTCTCCTGATTTGCTCACTTCCCAGATGTTTCATCTCTTTGAAAATATATTTTGTCTAATATTTGTATAATATATTTTGATCAAATCTACCTCCTATTTCCCCTCCTCTAAGTCCTTCCTATATTCCATCACTACTTTTTCCTCCCAATTTCTTATCTCCCTCCACCCCCACCCTGTCTCTCTCTTTCTCTTCCCTCCCCCTCTCCCTTTGTTGTAGCTAAAGTTTTCCTGCCTGGCCCATGGTCAGGACAAATCTCTCTCACCTGCCAGTCCCACAGCCACTCAGACCCGACCAAGTAAACACAGACTTATATTGGTTACAAACTGTATGGCCGTGGCAGGCTTCTTGCTAACTGTTCTTACAGCTTAAATTAATCCATTTCCATTAATCTATACCTTGCCACATGGCTCGTGGCTTACCAGCATCTTCACATGCTGTTTCTCATTGTGGTGGCTGGCAGTGTCTCTCTGACTCAGCCTTCCACTTCCCAGCTTTATTCTCCTCCTTGTCCCGCCTACACTTCCTGCCTAGCCAATGGCCAATCAGTGTTTTATTTATTGACTAATTAGCAACACATTTGCCATACAGAACATCCCACAGCACTTTGTTTCCCCTTCTCCTGAAGAAAAATGGATGTCCTTCCTACAGCTGTGACCAGTTGTCCATAGCAGCCTTAGACTCAGTGGGGTGTAGCAGGCTTTCTTGTTGGACTGTCTTTGGATTTTCAGCCTCTAAATAACAACCCGGAGACTTATTATTAATTATGAAAGCTTGGCCTTTAGCTTAGGCCTTCAGCTTGTTTCCAACTAGCTTGTATAACTGAATGAGCCCATATTTTTTTAATCTGCGTTCCGCCATGTGGCTTGGTTACTTCTCAATAGGCACATCAGACTTGCTGTGAGCCTGCTGGTGAAACCCCTGTGCCTAGCTTCCTCCTCCTCTTCCCCTTTCTCCCCAGAAATCCCACCTATCCTCTCCTGCCTACCTATTGGCCATTCAGTACTTTATTAAACCAATCCAAAGGCTCCTGGGCAAAGATACATCTTCATGGTGTACAAAAAGATTATCCCACAACAGTGGGGGGTTATACAGTCATATTGGGTGTAATTATAATATGAGAGTTTGGGAAAATTATTGACATTGTCGCACAATCAGGGTTGGGGTGGGGCAAGGTGAAAGGATAAGTGAAGCCAGCACATAGGTTCTCTTCAGTTTCTGCCTGCAGTTTTTTATCTATAGAGAACCCATGTTCCCTTTTAGGCCTGTAAATATAATCTTAGAGTCTTTTAACTGTGTTCCGACCTAAGAGAACAGGCATAATTAAAGGTAGAAAGGCCATAATTATAATCCTTGATAGAAATTTCAGACCTGTCATTTAAGATTAATATACACTTTAGACGAAACAATATTCTGTAGTGTGATTTCAGGGCAATATTCTACAGTTAATTGTTTTTAACATTAAGAATTGCTTCTTGCACCCTATGTTTTAGAATCTTTCACCAATAAGCTAGGATGTTGGTGACCTTCGATACTTTTTTGGTTTGGGGAGATTTTGCTGGTATTTTGAGTATGTTGCCTCTAAAAACAAATACAAAAACCAAAATAAGATTTTTAAAATTGCCCGCTGGTATCTGGAAGATTAGAAAGCAGAATCTCCCATCTCACTTTGCTTCCATTGTGGAGAAATACAGACTTGTGCTTCTCTCTAGATCTCCTTTGACCCACCCTGCCTCTGCTCAAGCCTCACGTGTCAGTGGCAGATCTAATAACTCCAATATAGGTAAATCTTGTGCTTTCTGGTGTGAGGTTCAAAGCAACATGCAGATTGATGTATGAGCCTGTATACAAAAACAGCAACAAAACCTTTGGTGTTTGAAGAGATCATGCTTTGTTTGAATAGAGAATTCACACCAGTAATTGCTTGGCAATATGCTTTGATTTGTCCCATTATTTCAAACATTATACTTAAATACATAGCACATAGCAAGTATCGTTGTGCTCAAAGAAGATAATTACTTGTAATTAAAGGTTGAAATGGACATTTCCATTGAAAATGATGTTTTTGAACAATATTTGTTACTGTGTATCTTGCACTTTAGATCATTAGTCTTAACCATGAAATTAAGAATAATTATATGTGAACTTCGTTACATTGTCCTTCTACAAAATCTGTCTCAAAAGTTTATATACATAGATGTTAAAAGTTGTCACCCAGGGACCTTATATGTGGATTTATAAAAGAAAGACCTTTGAAACAATTTTAGAAATATGATAGATTTATGCCTGTATTTGTAAATATGGAACCAGCCCAACCATTTGCAAACCGAAATCTGTATAGAGGTGTTTCTTAAGCCATGACCATTGAATTTTCATGTTTTTAAAGACTTATTTCACTTTGAAATCATATAATGAATAGAGTCAATGAATAAAAACATTTCATTTTCATCTCTAGCCATCAAAATGTTATAGTTTGTGCTCTACGATTAGGGAAAACCACACCATTCCTTTTTTATTATATGGTTTTTACATGTTGAACACTAATTTTTCTTTGAAGAATTATATGGTTAAAAATCTATTTGAATGTAAAGTAGGATCCATGTAGTTAATAAAGGTCATGGTTCACAGTCTAAGTAAGAGAAGGGCACAATTTTAAAGTGTGATTCAGATTGCTTGTTTCATCATTAATCAGTCAGCTATTGTACAGATAAATTTCCTTAGAGAAACAAAACCAATTCCTCTGGGTTGCATACTAATTCTAATCCTCTGGGGCATCCATGTGTAGGGTATCTGCAAACCCTGCGATATTATCACACCAGCCTGGAAAGAAGTCATTTTGTCACTTCTAAGTGAGATAGTGCAGGCTTTGTTTGATCTGGCCCTTGATCAGATACCATCAGCTGCTAAGTAGGAAAGGCATAATATGTCACAGATTTGAAAGTGCCCTGAGCTGTGCAGTAATCCTGGTCCTAGAGTTCAGTATTTGTTCTGTATGCAAATGACAAAATGTGATAACCTCATGAGTGCATTAAAAACATTTAACAAATTCTGAAGTAGTCGTTAGGTAATCTAAGTATGATGCATAATTCTTTTTTAGTTATATGTTGAATAAGTTCACAGAGAAGTTATTAAAATTTAATTGAAATCAGAAACATTCTGAATATTAATAGAAGTCTGCATTTTGAATTGAACTCCTCAGAACCGTGGAGTTCAGATGACTTTTTTAAAAATTCTTCTCTCACCCTGCAGCCTCTCCTCCCTCCACCCGACCTCAGGTGACTTTCACGTGCTAGTCTGTGACTTAAAGATGCATTGTCACGCATTTTCCCTTCCTGACTTAAAATTCTAATTGCTCTTGTGCTCCTTACAGCTTTAGGAGAACTCCTTGAAAAATTTGTGCTTCATCTCACCGAAAACCCCTCTGAGTGCTACTTCCCTTCCGTGGAATATACAGGTATCTTCTTACATATTGTGATGTTTGCAAAATGTTCAGCCCGTAAGTAGGCACTATTTCATAGTGCCACATGTGTAGAGTGCTGATATGTGCAAGTTTCCCCATCTGAAAATTCTGTCACTTCACACCATGTGGTGCTGTGACCGTCATTTGTTTCTGGTCTCCAGCGGAAACGGTTTTCTTTGCTGCATTGCCCACTTTTCTGATTTTATCATATGCCCCTCTCTCGTCTCATCAGCTCATAACTATCTCACTACGTCGGTCTGCTTTCTGTTGCGCTGCTGTAAGAGTGGGAAAATTATAGCAAAAAAATTGATTTGGACTCATTATTCTGCCCCAACATCAAAGAAATATAACGTGATGGCTTCTTGCTTTTCAGTCCCTACATGACATCATCCGGTCAACATCAATCAGTGTGTGCATGTTCTTTCTCTCATCTAATCCTCATAGCCTTCTGAAGACCCCACCTTGAAAATGGCAAAGTCACATTAACTTTTTGCTTCTTTTAAAAAAATTATTTTTTTTATTTCATGTGTATGTGTTTTGCCTGTATGTATGTATGTATGTGGTGTGTGTCTGTTTCTCTGTGTGTGTCTCTGTCTGTCTGGTGCTGACAGAGACCAGACGGAGGCACCAGGTCCCCTGGAATTGGAGTTAAGGATGTGTGTAAGCTACGATGTGAGTGCTGGGAACCAACCTGTGTCCTCTGCAAGAACAGGAAGAACTCTTAACAACTGAGCCATCTCTCCAGCTCCTCAGTTTCTCTTTAAAAAATATTACTGTAAGCCGGGCGGTGGTGGCGCACGCCTTTAATCCCAGCACTCGGGAGGCAGAGCCAGGCGGATTTTCGTGAGTTTGAGGCCAGCCTGGGCTACCAAGTGAGTCCCAGGAAAGGCGCAAAGCTACACAGAGAAACCCTGTCTCGAAAAACCAAAAAAAAAAAAAAAATATTACTGTAATTCTTTGAGAATTTCCTACAATGTATTTTGATCATATTCACTCCTTACTATTCCCAGGTAACCCTCCCTTTTTAATACATTGAGTCCAGTTTGTGTTTCCCAAATACTCTTGGGTTGGGACCTGCCCAAGAGAATTGATGTGCAAGGATTCACACTCTTTTTTTTTTTTTTTTTTTTTTTTTTAATTTTTTGGTTATTCGAGACAGGGTTTCTCTATGTAGCTTTTGCACCTTTCCTGGAACTCACTTGGTAGCCCAGGCTGGCCTCAAACTCACAGAGACCCACCTGCCTCTACCTCCTGAGTGCTGGGATTAAAGGTATGCACCACCACCGCCCGGCTGGGATTCACACTCTTAAAGAAAATTGACCCTTTGATTTTGAGCAGCTATCAAATGGCTGTAATGTTTAGCTAAGGGTAGAACTTTATGCCTACTGCCCTCCCTCTGTGATGGGATTTTGTTTGCTTTGTGCTTGTACAGGTCTCGTGCATGCTGTCCCAGTCTCTGAATTCATATGTGCGATTTCCCTGTTGTTTCTGGAAAGCACTATTTTCTTGTGGTCATCACTTACAAACTTTCTGCCTCCTCTAAGTTTCTGCTTCTTAAAGCTCTCACTAGGGATTAGTCTTCATATTTTGGTTCAGATAAGATTAAACAATAGCATTTATCTACCTCATATAAATGAATGACTTTAACATTTACAAAATCTTCTAATCAGAATTTATTTATTTATTTATTTATTTATTTATTTATTTATTTATTTATTTATTTATTTTGTCAGCTTCATTCTCATAATTCTAGTTGCTAAACAGGAGCTTTAGCTGGCTGCCTGGCTCCCATGACATTCTGTAACCTCAATGTGTCAGCAGTAACTGCTTTGCACCTACTGATGTATACTGTCTCTCTGTGTCCTGTCTTGGTAGGAGGTGCATCCAAGTGGGAAACGGAGAAGTCAGCACTGATATTTGCTGTCCAGTATTACTCCTATGTTCCTACGGTATCTTCACTACATCTCAAATTTATTTTATTCTGTCTCTCATTCTTCTTCTTTATGTTGATTGAAGCCAGCTTTGCCCCTTGCCTAGGGTATCAAAGACCCTTTGCATGCTTTTCACTTTTCAGTCTGGTTGTTCAACGCGTGCATTTTTGTTGTTTTTGGGGTTGTGTTTTGTTTGAGACAGAGCTTCACAGCACAACGTAAGCTGGCCTTGCCCTTGCTTTCCTCCTGTCCCAGCTTCCCTAGTATAGTCCTAAGACGTTTATGCCGGCACACCCAGCAAAAATGATATTCTCTCCACACAATAAGTGTGATCCTTGGTACACAAATCTGGATCTCTTCATGCCTCTACTCCTTCCCCTGACCATGGCATAGAGTCTACACTTCCTATGATACACATACTCTTACATCATCCCTTCCTCTTCATAACTCAGGTTCATTTCTTTATTGAATATCACTGTTAACACCACTGCCAACTTTCCCCTGTTCCAGATAACTGCAAAATCATTGTTCCACAAGTACATATTATGTCAGTATATTAACACTTCTTTAGTTATTCGTTATGAATGTTTGTGTGGTTTGCATTTTATAAACTTACTATGGTGCCCACATTAGAAAAGACTGAAGGAGGAGAAGGGGATAAAGCAGAGGGGTCCATATGAAAAATAGGATCACTCATGTGAGGGCCCCAGTAGTGAAGACAGGAAGAAGCATTTGGATTCTGAGTACATTGTGAATGTATGGCTAACAAGACCAAGTAATGTGTTGACTACAGAATGTGAGAGAAGGAAGGACTTCTCCATTGTTCTGAGCTGCTGAGGGGATGGACTGACTGTACAATAAAATGAAGAAGATATTTCTCTCTTGAGCTGATAGCAGCCATGGGTGCCTCACAAGATCTGTACAAGATCTGACCAGTAAGCATTGCAGCATGGAATAGGAAGGTGCTCATGAGCTTTCTTTCTTCATTGAGGAGCCATGAACAGTTGGTGGCTTCCAGATAAGGTACAGTCAGTTTTCGTTAAGGGTGTGACTCCTGGCGGGTCAACGGTACTCTAGAATGGCTCCATACCCAAAAGTTAATGGACAACTTAAATTGGAATTGATGGGTTATTGAATAGATAAAAAAAAACCCAGGAAGTTAGAGGAGGTTAGGAAAGTATGGGTAGATCTTGGAGGAGTTTTGGGGAAGAGTTAAGGAAGTGAATATGATAAAAAAAAAGTACATTGTATAAAATTTTCAAAGAAATAAAATATTTTTAAATGAAGACTAGGGTAGGGAACATTTGAGGTGGGGGACTATTTGAGGCCAGCTTTCCTTTTATGCTGTTTTGGGTATTTGCTAGTATTTAAGTAGCTAAGCTCTATATTCACTGGACCTGTGAATCTAGATTTTAGAGAAAAGATATGCTAGAAAATGACTAATTATTAAACCATCAGCTTGGTATCAAAACTAGTAACCCAGCTCATTGTAATTTCTTTCTCATGCTTGGACTCAGTGTCTGGTTCTTCATGACTTTTCAGTCTCCTATACATAATATAGTTCCTGTGTTTTACTGTCCTTTGATTCTAGAATAATGCTCATTTTTTGTTAAAAAATAGTGAAGTGTTCTACATTACTACCCATCTATACCCAGATGTTCTTGCCTTCACCTCATAATTTCTACCAGATGCACATTACCCACACAATAACACCTGCATAATGCCCAACTCAACGGTTAAGTTTGGGCTGAGTATCCACTTTATCTTTAATTCTAAGTAGAAGTTCCTTCTCTCTGCTACAGTGTGTTCTTTAAACTACTGTTTGGATGGTTATTTTATTGTCTCTGGCTAAATTGCTTTTTAGATCTCACATTCCTTTTTACCTGTCAGGTATTATTTTTTACCTGTCAGGTATTATTACTATCTATCTTAAGGTTTCTGGTGGTATGATGAAATGACCAAAAGCAACTTCAGGTGGGAAGACTTTATTTGGTTTATATATCCTGAATCACAGTCTGTTGCGGGAAGCTGAGGCAGGAACCCAAACCAAGAAGAAGCCTGGAGGCAGGAGCTGATGCAGAGGCCATGGAGGAGTGTTGCTTACTGACTAGTACCCCATAGCTTTCTCAGCTTGCTTTCTTGTAACAGCCAGGACCACCACCAGCCCATGTGCTGGGCTCTCCCATATCATTAAGAAAACATCCTGCAGGTGTGCCTACAGCCCTGGAAGCATTTCTCCTTCCTTAGATGGTTGTAGTCTGTGTCAAGTTGACATAAAACTAGCCAGCACAATAAGTGTCTCTATTCTCATGAATTTAATTCCTTAACAAGCCCAAAGTTTAATTTCATAACAAGTCCAAATAGAGTGATATTTGTAAACACACAGACAATTCTGTAGTAGTTATTTACATTTAATGACAAACTGAGAAAAAAAATAAAAGAAGCTATAAGAAAATGAAAAGAGATCTGCAAAGATTAAGTCAGGTAGAGAGAACTGATGGCCACTGAGCTTCCATTAAGCTTAGATGTGTGCTGGGGTTTTTCACGCATCCTGTCATGTGACCCTCTAACAGCTCTGAAGTGGGAATACTCTTAATGCTTAAAACAAGGAAACTGAGATATAAAGGAGAGAAATCATAAATTAGAAAGATTGTTGAAGATACACATTGGAGAAAGAAATTGTAATCTTATGAATAAACCTTAAAACTTACCTGAGAACATAACAGGGTTTAGCTGTGATATCTGTACCAGGAAGTGAGTAGAAGATTCTGGACATGTGGACTCTTGTGACTAGAGTGAACAGATCTTCAGCCTGAAGGGTAGTAGTGATCTTCACCTTCAGCAGTTCTTTATAGTACTTTGTTCTGCTGGGTCATATTTTCCACAGATAATAGGAAAATAGTATGATGTTTTTTCTTATCAAAATACTTAACAAGATTGATTACTTAATGTGCTTGTATTTATTATCATGTATTACATTTCTGAATTGTGCTGAGTGAAATCTCAGATGTTGGATTCGTTGAGTGTGTTTTGTAGTCAAATAAACCCTGAATGTGAGTTTAA